TATGGTTTCACTTGGCAAATGTTTCTTCCTTGTGATTCTATGCCTAGCTCTTCTCTTGTCCCCAAGTATGCAAGCAATCACTTAATTTTATATTATTTCTATATTATATTATCTGTTTATACGAGTATATTACAAGTTTTTGCCCTTGTTACAATATATTGGGATATATGTTGTAATCTAATTGAAATGGCAAGATCCATATGCTGACGCTGGTAACATGCATTCCTCCTCTTATACAGAAAAAAAAAAAATGTCATTTACGTTTTTTGCATATAATATACTTTTTTTGTTACACAAGGTGATGTTGCATTGTTTATTACCAAAATATACTAATTTCTAAAGATTCGTTATGTTTTTAAATGTTTTACTAAAATTTACTAAAATTAAAAAATGTAGAACCTGCAGAAGCAAGCGATGCGAGGACATGGCTACAACCAATAGGTCTTTGCTCAAAAATTCCCAACTGCGATAAAAAATGCAAGGAAATATATAAATCTGGTGGAAAATGTTTCAAGTTGTCTACAGGTGCCACTGAGGAGACATGCGAATGTTACATCTATTTAAAATAAAATTATGGCAAGAAAATATATTGTATACCATTGATACAAACATACACATTTCTTTGTCAAACTTTTATGCGTATTTTGTTAGCACCCAAACATATGTATCAACATTCAACACAACACACAAAACCAAAGATGTTGTGGTCTAGTGATAACACAAAGGGGTTGGTTTCTTTATGTTCTAGGTTCAAACTCTTTTTGGTACGGAGGGTTATTCTTTAAATCAGAATTTCCAAAAACTGCCTCCGGATACTTGAAAAAAATCTTCTATATATTAATTGAAAAAAACAGTAAAAACAAAATTATATGTATCAATAAATGAATAAGGGACACATCATTTAATTTAACCAATAAAAGTATTTCAATTAAAAGCATATGATATAGTGAAATTCTATACATATTCTCATTATTTTTTAACAAAGCACATTAATACATGTTTTAAAGTTTTAAACCCAACTAAATCTTATCTTCATGGATTTACATTTGCAGAGTTATCTTCGCGTATACGATTTATAATTTGTGTACCCTACTGTCACTATACACACACAGTAAATCTTATATTTTATCGTCTATATAAAAAACGTATTCGACGTTTATTTTGTTCATCACTTGTTCGAAACATCAATAAAAAAAATCTTTTTCATTCTCTCTTCTCTGAGTATCTCGTATTCTGAGGGTAGATTTTTTTCTCTAATTCTTAAAATTTTCTTTACCATAAATACTAGTTTTATTTTTATAACATTAAGCATTCACTCATTTTTTTATACAATTGAATAATTTCAATTAAAGTTTCAAAGAGCTGCGATTAAAATATATTAAAATTTTGAATTGTGAAACGTGAAATGATATAATCTAGGTCCCACGTGACAAAATAATAATCCAATCAGTATGCTTTGTAAATGATTTTGTTGCCAAGTTAAAACCGAACTGATAAGTTAATCAGAAAATTGATTAGTTACACGGTTTAATTCAATTTTAAATATTGTGGTGTATTAATTTGATTATGTTGACAGTTGGTTCTTTGCATGTCGTCAGTCTTCACGACTTCACGTGAGAATATTTTAAACAATTACAAATTTACAATCACGTTGAATGTTTTGAGAAAACAATTTGAATTGTTTGTTTCATAGATGATAGTTAAAATAAAAATTTACAAAATAAAGAGCACTAAACTAGAAGTTATTAACGACAACAAAAAGAACTAGAAGTTACTGGGATTAAACTACAGCCTAATTGTTTAGCAATGTGAAGACAGTCTTCTTTATTGCTTCAAACGATTTCTTCTTCAATGACTTTCTTGCCGAAAGTCTAGTTTCAGAAGAATCCGTCGTTTATACTGGTAGAGTTAAGGGAATGGTTCGAAAAAGCATGTTTAGATATCCTTAGATGTCTAGTTGTGTGTACTAGAGGGTTTTCCTAAACTTAACTACATGGATCTGTCTAGAACACCTAGCATCAGCAGTGATCGGTTTTCGAGGTTAGTGTTGAATAACGAAACATTATTTACAATATCTCAAGTGTCTTGTAGAGAATGTTTTGATTGTTAGGGATTTGGGAACTAGTTGCAGAGACAGTCTACTCAAGACTATAATATTAATAAATTTGCATTAGCAAACAACAAATTTGTTAAAAAAACACTCTTTAAATCATTCATGTTTCCATACATATACATATATCTTATTATATAAAGGAGGATGTATGCGATAAGAGCATGACACGTAAACAAAATTCTAACTCACTAGATTGCGACTGTGGCTAATACTAATAAAATGATGACATGTGTTAATAATTAAAATTACTTAAGAAAAAAAGTAAAAATAAAAATGGAAAACAAACAAAATAATTGTCAAGTAATTAATCAAATAGTATAAAGGAAAATTTTCTTATATTTTAAACTAACTAAGAAAAAATGAAATTTTCTAATAGTCGAAACTATCTAGATAAAAAAAGTTAATACAGTTCATACTAATAAAAGTAAATTAAGAAAGAAAATATAGGGAGTATAAACTGTAAAAACAAGAAGTGAAGAGAAAATGTTAAAAAAAAAAGTGAAGAGAAAATAAAAATTGTAGTAAAAAAAATGCGAATGATAAAACAAAAGACATGATATATATTCGAAAAAAAATTAGGAAAGATATGAAATTCTTAATTTAAAAGTTTAAGATATTTACAACATACCAAAGAAACATAAAATCAAAATCTACAAGCATAAGTATTTTGTCAACATAGTTATATAATATCGCAAAGATAATGAAAATGTTTTACCTATAACAGTATAAGTACTTCTCGATGTTACAAGGTTACTATTAAGATCCAAAAGTGTTTAAAGTTTGGCAAATATAGATTTCTATGAGAAAGAAAATAATGTCATCAATGGTAAAGATTATTTATGAGAAATTTCAAAAAATGCCACTTTTCAAGTGCCACTTTACAAAAATGTCACACTTTTGAAATCTTTACAAAATGCCACATTTTCAAAATTATTTTTTCTTTATATTATTTATATTTGGGTTAATTATGTTCTATTAGGGTTTAGTTATGAGGGTTTAGGGGGATTTAGGGGTCAAAACATTTTTTAGTGTTTAGAATTTTAAGATATAAGGTTTAAAAATCTATAATTAGTGGCATTTTTGCTAATGAACATCTCTAAGTTGCATTTTTGCAAATGTGCACATAAAAAATGGCATTTTTGCAATTTTCCCAAGATTTATGAAACATGGATTTATATGTGATGTTTGATAAAAATGTTTATGAAATAGTATATAGGTTTTTATGAGATTAGTCACATGTAATTTATTTTTTTCTAATTTAACTCTATAATATTTGAACTGTTTTTACGATTCCATTACATAATTAATATATACTCATTCCGTGTGTTTTTAAGTGATGTTTCAGATAATTTTTTTGTTTCAAATTAAGTGATGTTTTCAAAATTCATTGTGTTTTTGTTATTTTTCGACCGTCTAAATTATGCATATTTGTTTTCTATTGGTTATAATATTTTGGATTGATAAAAATTGATCTTTTATTTTATAAAAAAAAAAAATCAAAACAAGCAGCTAAGTCGTCATGGAAGCTATGTACAGTGACACAAGTAGAAGAGCTTAAAGCATTGATCCGTCTCTTGCCGATTTGGGCCACAAGGATTGTCTTTGCCGCGGTTTATAGCCAAATGAGTACTGTGTTTGTACTACAACTCTACAAGGCAACACAATGGACCAACACATGGGACCTAACTTCACAATCCCTTCTGCATCACTCTCCTTATTCGACACACTTAGTGTCCTCTTCTGGACACCCGTCTATGACCAGCTAATTGTTCCNCTNGCCAGNAAACACACGGGCCACGACCGCGGATTCANGCAGCTTCAACGGATGGGAATCGGACTCGTAATCTCTATTTTTTCTATGGTCTCAGCTGGAATCCTAGAGGTGGTAAGGTTAAGCTACGTCCGAAAACACAATCTCTACGAACAGGAAATCATTCCGATGACGATTTTCTGGCAAGTTCCACAGTACTTTTTAGTCGGTTGCGCCGAGGTTTTCACTTTCATAGGCCAGCTTGAGTTCTTCTACGATCAAGCTCCTGATGCTATGAGGAGTCTTTGCTCGGCTTTGTTGCTCGCGGCTGTCGCTTTCGGGAACTATCTAAGCACATTGCTTGTGACTGTGGTTACTAAAGTCACGACCTCCGGTGGAAGACCAGGCTGGATCGCGAAGAATCTGAACAGAGGTCATCTTGATTACTTCTACTGGTTATTGGCTGTTTTGAGTTTCTTGAATTTCTTGGTCTACCTTCGGATCGCCAAATGCTACACTTACAAGAAAGCAACGGGTCATGCACTATGAAGATAAAGAAACCTCACGAAATCTGCAATATCTTATAGATATCTCTGATTATTCTTTTTTTTTTATGAAGATAACGCTCTTACAGTATTCTTTTGCGTAATTTCATGAAGTCATTGATTTTTTGTGTGTTGAGATTCTATAGTGAAACTACTTTTAGACCTTTTTCTTGTTCCAGTGGCTGACCTTGTTTTCTCTGATTGCAACTTGAACAATACCACTTGCTTTTGCTTTCCTTCCTAGTGATGAGTCCGTGATCAAGTGAAATCAATCGCTTTGAGACTCTGATACAAGATTTCAAGGAACCTGCAGGATCGAACACTACTCACTCAATTAACAGTTATCAGACGAAGCAAATAAAGGAGAATGAGAAGACTAACTCGGTCAAATCGAAAAAGTTATCATATAACTTTGATTAATAGACCCAAGTTTGAAACTTAAAACTTTGGCTTGATACGTCAAGCTACTTGTACATTTGCTTTTGCATCGTAAAGTAACAGATCTCAGTGATGTTTACTCAAACCACCAAGACCAATGTGTCACCCAGATGCTACTACAGAGCTCACTCAACAACCAATTTCGTTTCTTTCGGCTACTTAAAACATAACTTGTCTTCTCTCAAGTAAAGAATAAAGATTCCACATTTATGCAACACTCTTTGCTAATAACTACAGATACAGAGAAAAGCCTCAAAACTCAGACTAACTTAGTTGCTGAAGTCAAAAGAAGAAGATACACTATACCTTAAGCTAAGCTGGCCATAAGATTACATTGCCTTGTCAAGTATCTCTCGTAACATAAAACGTAATCTCAAGTGCAAACTTCTCTCTCAGACATTTCGTCGAACACTTCCAATGCATCACTCAAAATTTTCCACTTTTTGCAACATCATTGATCAATATATTTAACATCAAACCCAGAAAGCCTTTAGATTTCTCGAAACTGCTTCTTCTTCGTCGTACTTTGCAATCGATCCAGCTCGACGGCGTCGGAGTGATAATAACCCAAACTCGCGGTGTTGTGATTTAATAGGAAAACGAACCGGTTTAAATTTCCCCCGGTTTCATCCGGTTCAGTTATATGACCGAGATTCATCACAAATTCACAATCAAAATTCAAAGATTAAAAGGTGAGTGGATTAAGAAAAATATGAGCGTTATTAATCAACGGTAACTTCTCTCTCTCTTTATTACCGTTGTGAAATCAATAGTTTAATCACAAAAAACAATTACATAAAGCTTTCGTTTTCCTTTAAATACCTCAAAC